ATATACTAAGAGCATCCGCATTGGAGATAAATGTAGATGTCTTTAAATATAAAATTATTAAAATTTGAGTAAAAGGAAGAAAGAGAGTGTTTTTGGTTGAAATAATGGGGTGTATTGAAATATAAAATTTGAGTAAAGAGAAGAGATAGTGGATATTGTTGGAGAGATTGTATCTTTAGGAAGACATAAATAGTGATTTTTGAAGAGAGAATATAAATGTGTTTAAATATAAAATTAATAAAAGTTGAGTAAAAAGTTGAAAGAAAATGTATAAAATTGAGTAAAAGAAAGAGAGAATGTATTTTTAATATTTGTTTATTTAAAGACATCCACAAAAAGATGACAAATGCGGATGGTAAGAACGGTAGAAATCTGTCCTCTAGGTGTTGAGCATGTTGGAAAATTTCTTCTTCTTTGAGGACACGCTTTACGAGTATGTCAGTATAGATAAATTATATTTTATGTATCTGTCAACTATAAATAGGCTTGCACTCATTTATTTAATTGTATCTCAATATTTTATCTAATTATTCTTAATTACTCTCTTTTTCTATCATTCACAAATCTTTTTTTTTATCTTTAATATTCTTCTCAATTCTTCTATTTATCACTTTTCCTTTCTTTTCGATTTTCATTTCTTCTAAATATTACCATTCACACCCATAATATTATAGCTATATCAAGTTTGTTAATTTTCCTTTTTGTGTATTATGTCGGAGGATCAAATTTCTGACCAAACAAAATTAACTTGTATTTTATTTTTCAGTGCAATCAGAAACATAAAATCGTATGCTACTAACTACTAAGGATTGCTTGAACGTCGCCAATTCTTGGCAATTATTCCACTAAATGTAAAGTGCTTAATTCTAAGATCATTTTCGATGGAATAACTATAGCATGTCCATCGTTTAGGACTCTTTGAAAAGTATCTACCTAATTTGATACTGTTATTATTTTTATACTTAAATTATTTAATTAAATAAAAAAAAAATGAACCAATACGAACATGACAAATCTGATAATTGTTTCTAATACCAATCCTTAAGTTGCTCTTTAAGAGACTACTCTCAATCTCTCTCCTCCTTTATTTATGTCCTTCATTATTTTAATGTTTAGATATTCTCTTAAACATAACTGATGGACATGCTCTAAGAGCTCTACTTGAATTGTGTAGTTTACCCTTACATTGTTCAATTCATATCATATATTTGGCCCAAATTTTCAAAACAAAATTGTATAGGAGCTTATAAATTTAAGATTTCCCATTAATAAGAAAGTCGTTGATTCGTAACATGTAGAAAATTTGTAATTCGTCTTCCGAGGCATCACATATTCATTTTAGAAACATGCAAAATAACAAAATTATATCTGCTTCTCATTTTAAATGTCACTGCTAAAAACATAGTATGTATTAATTCTATAGTTTATCTTACCCATATTTTAATATTCAGTCATTTTTTGTTTTGAAACCTAAAACTTAGGGAATATTCAGTCATTTTTTCGACTACAAATTAACAACACTACCGTTTCTCT